TATACATATATTTTGTGTGTGTGTGTGTGTGTGTGTGTAATAAAAGAAAATAAGTGTCAACATCAATAGAAAGAGTTCAATACCAACCTCTTGAATGAGGAGGGGCACGACGAGCAGTTCTTAAAGCACGCCTATAGAGCTTAAGAACACGTGCTCTGACAATAAATGCCTTGAGATCCAATGCTTGAAACATAGTTCTTCAAACCTTATTTCTATTATTTCATGTCATGGTAGTCCTTCCCTGTGATGCATATCCAGAGTTATCACTATCTTGCTTTAAGAATCTTCTGAAAGAGAATGGGAAGAGATGAATTATTTTGAAGCTAAAAAAAAATTGTTTTCAAACTTAGAAGTTCTAAGAATTGGCCACTCAATCATTCTGAAGGAAGATTTTTGTAATAAAGGAAGAAAATAAAGTTAAGGATTGTTAAGTCCTATTTCAGTTTCCCTAACACTGAACTAGCAATAGAAGTAATTATAAAGTATCAACACTATCAGCGATAACTTTTCAGTAAAGCATCATTTGTAATGTATGCAGATGTCTTGTTGATTAATGAACAAAAGGAACATTTACATAAAGACCACACAATGCTTATGTATTCACATATATCTAATACCTATACTTTAAAAATTACATGCATAACACTCAAATCTTCAACAGCACATCAAAAATATCAAAATTATTAACTTCTAAAAGTTAAATTCATCTTTTCACGTATAGGATTATGATATCAAGGTGGTATGATTGCAAATATCAAACTTTTGGTGTTAGAGATGTAAATACATAAGAATTGTATGGTACGTATGTAAATTTCCCTAAACATAAATGAAATTGTATGAAAAAAAATGATATTCATGCACCCTTAGAACATGCTGAATATATGATTGCTTTCATAATTTCAACTGATAATGATTATTAAAACATTTCATTCAAAAGTAGATGAAGAGGCAAAAGTAGAACCTGGTTGATTAGCTTGCATGAATTTGAACAAGAGTACACCTACAATCTCAAACAATATCAAATAAAAACAGGTTTAAGTTCCATGTTGCTCAAGTGGGCCTATTTAATCCAAATGAGAATATCATGCGCGTTTTCTTGGGAGAATTTTGATTGATCCATCTAAACAAAATTAAGCCCAAAATCTGCATTTTTTTCTATTGATTTTTTTGAGTGAAGAATTACTCTTTGAACAATTAATTCGTCTATTTATTATGAAAAACTAGTCGATTTGTCTCACAATGCATAAAACAATCTTGCAAATATTAAAAAATGGTTAGGAATAAATGTAATGGGTGATTTAGTAAGTGTTGTCCTTAATGGTTTATAAGAATTACATCAAGTTACTATTAGGTGTTCAGGATGTCATTAGAAATCAGTAAACACACCCACCTATTTGGAGATTAGGACACCAAAATGTAGAAGAAAATGGAGCGAAAAAGAAATCAGGAATTTTGCGCCATCCTATAATTACACAACAATCCCTTCTCCCCATTTAAAACTAGGAGTTTTAGGGAAATTTTAAGTTGTGTCTAATTATTATTTAAAGCTAATATTTCTGTTTTCTGGTTAATTTTCTGGTTTTGTTCATATCAAATGGCGCTTTCATTTCTTCAGTAGCTTTCTAGTTTTGTTCTTAACGAACAATCAAAACTTTCGAGAAACATGAACAAAATGTTATGATTGCTGAACCAGAAACATCTTTGCTTGTAGTTGAAAAAGTGTTTCAACATATTTATTTACTTGAAATATCTTTAATAGATAAAATAACGTTAAGTTGGGTATACAATGAGACATGCGTGTAAGAAAAAAGGAAAGTAAAAATAACCTTTGCAAGGTCCGGTTATGATCAGGATAATACCAAACAAAAGTTGGAAAGCCAATTCTTAGTGTTTGTAGAATTTGATTACTTGATCTTAAAGCTATATAGCAAGAAATAACTAAAATTATCAAATGCACCTACTCCATTTCAATGTTGCTTTAGACTAAAAAAAAAAAGCAATGCTTTAAAAAATGTATCATACAAGATCATAGAGGATAAGTTAAATTGGGTCGTGAAAATTGAATTAGTAAATTGGACAATCACTTCTGAAGTTACACTAATTCATGAAAACCAACTCTACAAAAGAAGATTAAAGTGAATCAAAATATGAATAAGGAATACAAAAAATTGAATGAACAAATAAAATCAGGAAAAGAGAAGAATTTCACATGAATGGAGTATTGGCATATAAGGGTTGACTGTGGGTCCCCAATTATTCAGGATTAAGAAAAAATATATATATGAAGCTCGTTATTCTGGTTATACAATCCATCAAGAGAGCAATGAAATTTATCATGGGTTGAAATTGATATTTTTGAGATAGATGACTAGTTCTACAAAATTTGTTAGAAAAGTTTTACAGGACCCTATACATAGATTGCGTATTAGTAAGAAACATAATGGTTTGAGTGAGGCGATACAAAAACTTGTCAAGGAAAAAAAAGAGAGAAAAACTAAATTATCACTAAGTATTAGAGTTATTATAAGCAAGTAAAAAACCCTATAAAGTGTTTATTGTAAAAGCTATAAATACTGATGCTTTATACAATACACTTGATACTGTCGAGAAAATGAAATAAATCGGATCATTAAGCAAAGAAATATGATATCTAAAGATTTTGATCGAATAAATGAGAAGAAAAGATAACACCACCTGGCTAGAAAAAATATGTCAGATAAAAACACGACTTCAAAAAATTATTAAATAAGAGTTTTAAAGATGAAATTATTTTGTAAGTGCATAATGTACAAAATAATAAGGCATATTACATATTAATCTAAGAAAGTGTAAGTTGAGGTCCAAATGAGATACATATTCAAATTTGAATATTAATAAGGAAACAATAACTGTTTGGTAACAAATATTTTCAATAGAATTTCAATGATTGAAGAAGAAATATTTTGGTGTTAATATCTAAGGATAAATTAGATGTTTAGGAAGTGCTAGATATAAAAAGAGTTAAATTTATGATACTTACAATGAAGTTATAGGAGTGTGATAGAATATAAAAACAAATCTATCACGAAATTGCTTTTGTGTTAAGATAACTAATGAAAAATTATACACTAGAGAAATAATCTTCATATAAATTTTATTGATCTTGCGAAGAATCACTATAGGAAATTGCAAATTAGCGTCAAACGAATTTTCGATGCAAAATTAGTGTCTGATTTGCATCCGTTTAGCCACGCCCGCAAGCCCGCTCAAAAAGAATCGACATAGACGAATTGCGTCGCGTAGAGGAAGTTGATCAGATGCTTAACATCAGATATAGCCAACTCTAATTCCAACACAAAAGCCCTAAAATAGGGCTCTCGCGAACCGTAGCCTTCACTTCATTTTTCTTTATCCCTGAACTCCTCTCCTCTGGCTTTCTTTCGTCGCGTTCGAGCTTGTCCGGCCATTTCAGGTCTGATTCGTAGATCCGAAATACATAGGTTTTGCTCAAGTTTTTTTCGTATTCATTTGTTGGATTTCATGGTTTTACATTATTTTAGAATGATATATGCTTAAATATTAAAGTTAGGTTTTCCGGCCATTTTAGGTCCGATTCACCGCTCCAACCTCGTACAATGTTATAAATCTTCTTCCACAAGTCTAAGTTTTGGTTTCGCATAAGTTTTAATATTTTTTTTCCTTGCATAGGTGCTAGATCCGAAACACATAGGTTTTGCTCTAGTTTTTTTCATATTCATTTGTTAGATATGCAATGTCTATGGATTTCATTGTTTTACATCATTTTAGAATGATATATGCTTAAATATTAAAGTTTAGGTTTGAGATATGTAAATACATAAGTATTTTATGCAATGTAAATAGATTTGAATTTTGTGCTATGAGATTTCTTAGTTTCGAGTTATGTAAATTTGTGATATGTATGTAAATATGTAAATATGTAAATATAAATATTTAGGTGTGAGTTATGAAAATACATAAGAAACTTGTGCTATGTATATAAATATAAAAATTTAAGTGAGAGATATGTAAATACATTAAGATAAGTGATATATATGTAATATGTGCTATGTATGTCAATATGTAAATTAGAAATTTTTGGGCATTAGATATGTAAATACATATAAATTTTGTGCTATGCATGTAAACATGAAAATTTAGGTGTGAGATACATAAATACATGAGAAATTTTTACTATGTAAGTTTAGGGTAGGCTAGTGTTGATTTTTATTTGTTTAAGTGTAAGATAATGGTGTGGTAATTTAATTAGTTGATTCTTTGGATTTCTGTGCTTTCAGAGAGCGGGTGATGTGTATGTGACCAAAGGCTTCGGGTAAAATGTGTAGATTATAGTTGAAAGTTTCACTAGGTGTGAAATTGGGCTATGATTTAAATAAAAAATATGACACTCAGCAAGACACAACGACGTTGTACTAATTTATAGAATTACATGTATGATACATATAGATATTTGAAACTTTAAATCGTGGATGTATAACAAATTATATCCAGAAAGAAAATGATAAATTGATGAGTTTTTGGCTGGTGTTGAAGAGTTTGTGCATGTGACATTTCAACTACCCATTTACCATTCAGAAGGTAGGTTTCAATCTCTTATGTGAAACACAAGAATCAAGTGTATCTAAAGAAGTGAAGTTAGACATATATCGTAGGGGATTTAAACCCGATTATTGGTATTGGACTTCACATGATGAATTTGAACCAAATGATCAGTACGGTTATGTTGGAGTTCATCAAGTTATGCCTCTCCAACAATTCATGATTTTGGCATGTAGGAGAAAATGATTGATGATGCGAGCAAGGCTAATTTTGTTAAAAGTGTGTCTGATGAAGACAAAGAACCGAACAGTGAAGCACAACAATGATTGATGATGCACGTTAGCGGGACGCGGGCCCGGGCTCATCCCAGGTTCAACTCGGGTTTGATTCGGGCCGGACTCGGGCTGACTGAGGGTTAAACATTTTGAATTTAAAATTTTTAAACTTCAAATTTGACATTTAATCTCACTTTAATTAAGAATTTGGATTTTCCAATTGAGGTGGCTGCCTACAAGGAAATAATTCAATTCCCCGCCAATGCTTCAAGTAACGGCTCTCTGACCTCGCTCCTTTCATTAATTCGCCCCCGCGCTCGCCTTCTCCCTCCCCTTCTCGACACGATTGGAGACCCCCTTTCCACCGAAAACTCCTCATTCGCTCATCTCCTCTGCATCGAGAACCTTCCTCGCTCGTGGCAAGATTCGACTCGCCTTCTTCCTCCGCCATTAAG